CCCTTATAGTATGACACCCACTTCAAAACATGACCGTCATAGTAGTCCTTATAGTATGAAGCCCACTTCAAGAAATGACCGTCAAAGTGGTCCTTATAGTATGAAACCCACTTCCAAAAATGACCGTCATAGTAGTCCTTATCGTATGAGACCCCCTTCAAAAAATGATCCTCATAGCAGCCCATATAGTATCCCTAGGCTTAAGCTCCCTTAGGACTGGACTCCGAGCCAGAAGACGGCATGCAGCGGGCTGATTGCACAAGGGCTCATTGGCCAGTGCCTCGTTGCAGACGATGATGACCATGATGAGGATGATGATGACGATGATAATAATGATGAAGATGAAGATGAAGATGAAGATGATGATGATAGCAGTTATGATGATGACGATGATAATGAAGATGATGATAACAATTATGATGATGCTGTGTGCGTGCGTGTGTTTGTATTTTACGTGGTCAGGGCTTTGGGTTCGGCCTTTTGGGTTCAGGGATTAGGTGCTAGCTTGTAGGAGGCTTATCTAGAGAGGGTCCTTTTAGGGTTCCCTACAGAGCGCGTCACTCTTATGATAAGGACCCTAGCAGAGACATGCAGAGACCCTAATCCGAAGAACGACACAAAGGCATATTCATGTCTACACGTATACCTAGGCATATGAAGCCATGCAGTCCTCACACATCGGCGGGTTTGTGTGTGTGTGTGCATGCGGTCTAGGCAGACATATAGGTATGCATGCATGTACAACAAAGAATCTACAGATGCATGCATGCATGCAAACGTCTGCAGAATCCTCCACATCCACTTCACGTTCTTATGCTTACAACGTCGCATGGTGGTTTCTTCTGCTACGCGTGTGTATGCCCTCGTATTCATGTACGCATGTTTGTAAGCATGCATCTCTGAAGACATGTATGCATCTATACATGTAGTTTATGTACGGATGCATGAACCCTTCCTGTCGTAGCCATGCATGAGTCCTGGCTTGTGTCGAAATACTTCAAAGGCTACGGCTACAGCATACGATCTCCAAAGTCAGAACTTTTGCCCTCCAATCCTCAACACACCTCAACCCTGCCTCCAGAGAGGTACTCCATGCAAGTGATCTCTTTTGCACTACACACTCCCACCAGCGATGGGCGCGAAGAGGCTGCAAATATCGGACGGCTGGGTTGCTTTGGGGCTTTATGGTTTGTGTTGTTACGGCTTGAAGCTGCCTGCCTGGTTAGTTTACTTGACTATGTCGTGACCCACGATGTCCGCTCTCCTTCGTCCTTCCACCTTCGACTACCCAGATTTAGACAACCACCGGGGATTGTCCTGGCGGACGCCATACAAAACAAACGAAGCTGCATGCAGTATTCGAGCAGAAGAAGAGGGGCGGGAATCAGCAGCATTCAGAGCCCTTCATTGCTCCATGTGGGCAATCATGGATACCACCAAGCGAGTACAACACGGTAAATGAGCTGCCACACAAAACGAAAATTAAGGCCAAGCGATGTTTTCCACAGCTTTTAACAGTGCTGAACTTGGGACGCAAAACGTAGGAGAGCACAAAGGAACTTAGAGGGGAAGTCAGTAAGCAATCCATGCATCATCTGGGCACATGAAGTAGTTTCGTACTGAGAAGAACCATGCTTCAACACGGCAATGCATGTTCGCACGTTCGCGCCTGCGCCTGAGGCATTTATGGAGGTGTGTTTGTTGCTTGTTGGCTGTCAGCTGTTGTGTGTTGTTTGTTCGGTTGTTGACCCTAAACCCCAACACCCCTTTAAACCCTAAACCCGAAGCCCCTAACCCCCTTTCAACCCTACCAGGTCCGGGTCCCCACGCCCTGAACCCTGGAACCCTAAAGCCCTAAATCCTCAGCCTATGGCCCGAAAACCCTAAAACTCTAAAACCCTCAGCCGGTACCGTCCGTTTAGGATTCAGGGTCAGAAAGACATCCTGTGTCGATGCCAGGTCACGCACTGGATCCGAGTGTCGGCGCAGGTCTACTTGGAGAGGCTCCCGGCTTGTTTAGGGTTTAGGCTTTAGGGTTTATTTAGGGTTTATTTAGGGCTTATTTAGGGGTTTAGGGGTTTAGCGTTTTAGGGTTTGGGGGGTTTGGGGGTTTAGGGGTTTAGGGTTTGGGGGTTTAGGGTTTGAGGGTTTTGGGGTTTCGGGTTGAGCGTTTGGGGCTTTGGTGTTTTGGGGCCTAGGGGTTATAGGGTTTGGGTGTTTGATCTTGTGGGAGGTGACTTGCCAACTGCCAACCCTGCGAGTCCATGCAACTCTATAGTAATATAATAGGTGCCTTAATAATTGAATACTATTTTGGGGGCTCCTTATTAAAATTTTAGGATATACCCCAAAACCCTATTCTAATTCCTAAGGGCGTTACATTACGCATTATTGCACGCATAGTAGCAATCCTCTGGGGCCGAAGCTTTGTTTGTAGGTGAACGGACCCTTAGGGTACGGAACTGGACCGATAATTGAGGGTTTAATATATGGGCCTTAATAATTAGAATAGGGTTTTGGGGCTTCCTTATTTGAATATAGTTTATAATGTACCCCAAAACCCTATTCTAATTATTACGAGTTTGGTTTGCAGGCCCTGCTGCGCGCACCCCATCAGAGACGACCATGTGTTCTCGGACCCTAAGAAAGACTGGCATCATGGAGATTCCGCAATAGAAAGAGCACCACAGTGGAAACCTCAATGCTTTGAAGTTATCTCTGTGTTGCTGTTTAAGATTCTGGTTTGGGCTCTGTGGGTTTAGGGACGAGGCCTGAGTTTGGGAGTTTACTAGAAAACGGAACAATTAGTGAACGCTGCGCCTTATAATCTCAGTTCCAATGGTTCCAATTATAGTCTAGGATACTCCAAAACTATTTTCGAATTAATTCGTATGGCCTCTATATGACGGATGCCGAATTTAGTACTTCGGGTTTGCTACTGACCAGTGGGCAGAAACCGTACAGGTGGTATTCGTCATAACCGACATCCATGAACGGTTTTCGGGAAACGGTTGACTCGAGTGCCTTGCGCACGGGGGTTTCAAGGAAAGCGCAATCTGGGTGTCAGAATGACAACTGAGAGTGTCCAGCCCTGTTCCGCATTCTGCGTCCCGTGAGCCCTGCATGTACCCTAAAGCGGCAGGTCGGATTTCGAGGATCTCACCCACGCGGTGATGTCACTGAGGGCGAAGTGCACCAGCACACAGAGCTCGATCGTTGCATGAAAAGAAGGGAAGAATTCTGCTGTCCTCACTTCATTGCGGATACTTCATGCTAACCCCCCATAGTACCTACATGTCACACACACATATACAATCATATGCCCTTGCCAAAACCTTGATCGAATTAGTACCACGGCCCTCATACTAAACCCTATACTTACAACACCCTACACCTGCATTTATAAAGGCTATCTGCGGTAAGCCCTCGAAGACCTGGCCCTCACCCGGAAGGATATGGATGCCGCCGAATCCACACCCATCGATGCAGGCCAGGGCGACAGCTGTTGTTTTCCTTGTTCAAGCTTTTATATAAAATGCCCCGGGGGGTAATGATTCCGGGCCTGTCTGGTTGTGTTGCTCGAGTGTCGCTAAACATAACCCCAAGATACGAAAGAACGGGTTTCTTGGTGGTTCATGGGTAGTTATAAGTGGGTTTATAAGTCCCCTAATACGGGTTAGAATTATAGTTTCCCTACTTATAACCTACGTATAACTACCCATGAACCTCCAAGTTGGGTTCTGGGTCCAAGTAGGCTGAAAAGGACATAGCGCAAGTGCGTTTGAGACTCGCGACGCAAGCATCTCCGTAATGTAGGGGTGGGAGGAATTAATTAGTACTCGTACCTCCTTATGAGTTGCAAGATGTTGACAACAAGTAGCCCCAAAGCCCTATACGAACTAACCCTACACCCCGAAACCCCAAACCCTCAAACCCCAAACGGCAGATCCTGAACCCTAAAGCCCCAAACCCTAAATCCCTGAACCCTAAATGCCCTAAACCCTGGCGCCCTAAACCCCAAAACCCTAAACCCTAAAACCCTAAATTAGTGACACTTAGTTCAGGATTGGAGGAGCTTCCGGGCTCCAATTCAGAGGGCAGTGGGGGACGCTCAAAGCCCCGAAAAAAGACTCAGCAATGATTTCGCGGCTTAGGCTTTGAGGGAGTAGGAATTCTAGGGGTTGATAGTTTGGGAGTTACGGCTTTTAGTGTTCAGACTTGAAGCATTTTCGATTTGCTGTTTTATGGTAATGGTTTTTAGGTCTTGGTTTAGACCCTAAACCCTAAACCTTAGCAAGAGAGAGTATACTGGCAGCACAAGATGCCCCAAAATCCCGTTCGAACTATGCAAACCTGTAGGCTGCCGGTTTCGGGTTTAGGGCTTCAGGCTTCCATATCACCCAGTGTACTTCGGAACGAATCGAGAAGCTAGAGCCGTGGATCCTAAGCTCCTAAACCAACCCAAACCCTCACACTCTTCTACAAACCTACAAGACCTTATGATGAAACCGTTGTAAATGTCGAAATAAACTTGTGATGACATGATTTTGAACCTCGTTACCTACCCCCTCCCTTTTGTCAGGTGCTGGCAAGCCTGAACGTGTGAGTCCGAGCTGGGATGACTCAGAGTTTGCTCCGTTTGTTACAGATATGACGACTATTCTCGTCAGGATTGGCAGTGGTGCTATTGCAATCATTGCAGTCACCACACCCGATACCGGCTACTGTTGCTACGATTACCCGAGCGAATCAGTGCTTGTAGAGTGAAGTTTGCACATGTTTATCACGATGGCTGCGTTTGCCGTTATCTGTCTCTTACCCTACGATCATCTCGTTTCCTCCTTCTCGTTGCACCATCGCAATTACACATACATGCATGCAACCATACATACAACCGTACCTAGAGACGTATACAGATACGTGGTGCGCATACAAACAATCGTATTCACACATACATCCTTACATACTTAATTACATGAATACATGCATGAATAGATACGTACATCATTGCATACATACCCTCGTACATACTTGCATGCCCACAGAAAGGCAAAAGTTGAAAGGCCTGCGTGTCGAGTGATCACGAGTCTTGTCTGTTAACCACATGTTCTGCGCTTGCTAAAGTTGCCCTCCCTCTACTATATGCGGTGGTAGAGCCGATCGCATGTTGAGGATACATGTTTTGCCTTCTCCTTCGTGTCGTGCCGCGGATTCCGCATCTGCCGTTTCAGTGTACTGGGCTTCGGGTGCAGGATTTAATAGCATCTCGAGTACATCGGTCCATGCTGAAGCTGAGCCGGAGAAGCATCATGAACTGTCTCACATCCGTCTTGGCATTCTACTGTTGTCCTACGCCTGCTCTAACCTTATTACTAAACTTATTGCCATCCTGTAACTCTGGCAACTCCAGTATGTATATATAGGGATCCTTGACTTATAATGGATAAGATTTCCGAAGGTTCCGATGCATCAGGAAAACGGGAGTACAGAATTGCAGACGATTGAGAATAGTTCTCAGGCATGGTCTATGAGTGCATCCGGAGACATACGCGCACGCACCCTCACACTCTTTCTCCCCCTCTCTCTCTTCAGATTTCAGCTGGCCGTCAGCAGTTGTTTCAAGTCTTGTTGTCTTGGTTTGGGCTTTCGCGGAAATTCTATCCATGAGGCCCGAAGACCACCCAGACTTCAATCAATACTCCAGGACAAGAACAATCCATGTAATACAACAGGACGATCTTTCGGGTTTAGGATTCATAGGATTTTTAGGGTACGCTCTTGAAATACATGGTATTTGTATTTCTTAGAGGTTCCTATGATGTTCATCGCTGTCCGTGCCTGTCTGGTGACCTGTCCTGGACCTTCGAGCCTTGAACCGCTGAAGTCTCCAGTAGGGTTTAGGGTTTAGGGTTTCGGGTTTAGGGTTTAGGGTTTAAGGTTTAGGGTTAAGGATTTAGGGTTCAGGGCTTACGGTTTCGGGCTGAGGGTTTGAGTTTAGGGTTGAACATAGGGGCCTAAATAAATTAACTATACTATTTTTTGGGGGGGTCCCTTATTAAAAGTTATAAGTATAATGATTAAGGCCCCTACATCATGAGTCTTGCCGATTTCCGAGGCAGCATGCAAAAGCCTCCGATAATCTGGCTACACGTCTACGACCTGGGGCAGATGACGGTTGCTTGGCAGATTCGGAGTGTAAACGGGCCCCAGGGTTCAGAACTCCACGGCCCCGGAAGTAACTTCCGACATGACACTACACCCGAAACTCATCGAAACCCCAAAGAGCCCTTAATTCTGTGGAGACTTTGGAACCCCCAAAGGCGTCCAAGGTTCGGCTTCAGGCTCAAGTGCACCAGAAAGCCTGAAAAGATAGTTGGGTATTCATATAGATCGGTATAAACACAACTATGAGTATAGATTTGACAGGTCTGAGTGCAAATACGGATACAGATGTAAATCCGTATAAAAACCGATGAGTAAATCCATACTACATGAGTTGCATGACCCGAAACTTTGCCCTACTACAAACAAGTACAAAGTATCCAAATCTCAGAACTGGAAGAAGATGATTACTTTCAGAGGTTTGCATGCAGAGGGCCCTGTGCTTAACTTAAAGAGAAAGAACTGCCGACTCCTTGGTTTCGGGTTCCGGGTTTAGGTTTTGAATTCAGGGTCAGCTTTGCCTACTATTAAGGGTTTAGGGTTTAGGGTTTAGGTTTAGAACTCAGGGTCAGCTTTGCCTACTATGCATCGTCGTCATCAGGGTTCAGATTGTTGCAGAAACTCCCAGCTGGATCCTAGCCCAGACACCTCAGGCTAAGCTGAACACCTTCATGCTACGCTCCATGGGCATCGGTGCCTATCACGTGGGCGTTGAGGCCAGAGAACGAACAGTTTAGAGTTTACGGCCGATGGCGCACGGTTGAGCGCTTTGAGGTTCAATGTGTTCTTGGCAGTCGAAAGGGGTTCCCGGGTCCCAGAGTGACAGCTAGCATGACGTTTGCGGTAGCACAGACCCTGCAGAGGACCCTAATACATGAACTACCGGCAAAGATGCACACATGCATGCTTAAGCATGGCCTTTTTGATTCAAGGCAATTGAGTGTCTTTGCTTCGCTGGTCTGTTTTGGAGAGTTTCTGGAGTTGGTGTATGTGTGTGTGTATATGTATTTGTAGGTGTGACAGCTAGCGTTTTCAAAGTTATTTGCCTTCCATATACGGCAACGCCGACAACGAACATGACGGTGACATTATGTAACAGAAAACAAACACGTATATTGTCTTGTCGCAGCAACGGTAGATGACACTGAATGCGCGAAATCGAAGTCAATTGCATCCCTTGATTGGTTCCGTTGATTGGACCAGATAAAGAGCATGATGACGATGGCTGTTACGATGATGATGGTGATCATGATGATTATGATGTTGATGACGACTTTGACGACAATAATGACGGCGATGTTGATCATCCAGATCACAATGATGATGAAGAAGTGGACGGCGACGACGATGATGATGTTCATGATTGTAATGATCGTGATGACGAGTATGATTGTGGTGGTGGTGGTCCTACTTACAAGCCTACTTATAACTACCCATGAACCTCCAAGTAGACCGATGACCCAGCAAAAGACGGCATAAGCCACGCCCTGGATCCGGTACTGCACCGCACTCACCGACCAGGTGCTCGGCGACGAGTGGTACTTCCGCTGGAGTGATACTGCAGGACGCAGAAATCCCTGGTCAATTTGTGCGGATAGCAAGTTCGAATGAAGGACTCAGCTCCTCAACCCTCAGCCCTAAATCTTAGGCTGTCTGGATCCTAAACCCTGAACCATCAACAGCTGTGCAAGCTTGTAGAGGAGGAGCTTGGACGCAGTGGTGGGGAGGGACGAATGAGTTTTCGAGATCCAAGCCGTTTTCTCACAGCGGATCATGGGCTGTCTCTTGTGTACCTGAACCCCTAACACCCAAATCCTACCCTCAAACCCCAAACCCTAAGCCCCTTAAGCTTTCAATATCAAAGGGGCCTTCATAGCTAAAAAAGGTTTGGGGGTGTGTTACTATAATGATATGGGTAGAATAAGGAACCCCCCCCAAAACCCTATTCCAATTTATTAAAGCCCCTACATTACGATCCAAGGCCAAGTTCCTTCAAAGTGCTGCGGGAGCTCATGGGCTCAGGATGTGCGGCTTTCAGGTTCAATGAATGAACCCCGCCTGCCTTAGAACGGATATCTATAAGGATCCAAATAAATTTGGGTATTATGGGGATCCCAATACAGTATATAACAGGGTCCTTAAAAACAAAGAAGGTGTATGAAGCAGGGGTCTGCATCCGCAATCTAACGGTCCATGTACTCATATAGTATATACATTGGCCTGAATGTAGTCCCTATATAGGTACTTTAAGGCCCATGTATATGCTATATGAGTACATGGACCCTTAGGGGCAATCAACCCGCCCTTGCCGCAGAATCGGGCATTGTCTGGATGCGGCCGCGAGCGCATCAGGCAGAGCTTGCGAGATGTTGGACTTTCCGAAAATTTGGGGGGTACCTTATCTTGGGGGTCATTATAATAGGGATCCTACTATTTAGGGTACTATATTAGGGTCCCCTATTTTCGGAAACCCCCAGATGTATTCTGGGCTTTGGAGTACCATACTTTAATACTTTTTTGGGGGACCCGTTCCTGAAAAGAACTGTTATGAAATAAAAGTCTATACTTTTTCCTCCCGGGTTTTTAGGGATTAAGGGTTTAGGGATGTAGGGTTTAGGGATTTAGGGTTTAGGGTGGAGTTCAGGGTTTCCGTCTTCACGGGTTTAGCGTTTAGAGGGAGTGCCGGATTTTGTGAAGCAGTTCCATGGAGATCCCCTCTGAACCCTAAACTTCCCTAGACCCTAATATGTCGTTTAGATCCTCGGAACTCTAAACCCCTACCTTAACCTACCATAACCCTCTTTTTTGTAGGTTCTTATTATAAACCCCAATATGGGATTTATAGGGACCCTACAAAAAAGTAGGTTCTGGTAGGCTAAGGTAAGCCCTAAACCCTAATCCAGGTGCACGTCTATAGCGAGTCCATCTGCTTGGGCACTTCGGAGCTCTCTGACAAGCAGATTCGATCGGTCGGGCCCCCGGTTTAGAAGACGTTGGAGGTTCATAACTTAGAGCTTAAAGCCCTCGGTTTAGGGTTTAGGGTTTAGTTTAGGGTCGGTTTAGGGTTTGAGGTTTGGTTTAGGGTTTAGTTTAGGGTTTAGGGTTTCATTTTAGGATAAGTTAGCGTTTAGGGCATAGCGGTCTCATAAAGGAGGTCAGAACCACAACACCCTATGATGCGTTCTTCAACACTTCTACTAGCACGCCGACGGATCGCTAAGACTCCGGAGAAGCGTTCGCATTGCATCACGATGCTAGGTCGGGGGCCGTCAGTCCATGCCTGGGGGTGCCAGAGTCCCGTCTTTAGGGTTTAGGGTTTGGGGTTTCGGGACGACTCTTAGACCCAAAGGGTTTAGAAGTTTAGGAATCAGGCTGGGCTTTCTAGGTATAGGGTATGCCGCAGGTATACCACAAACCCAACTACTAGAGCCCCAAAGCCGTATAGTCCACGGTTAAGGGTTAGGGTTTAGGGCAATCCTAAATGCGTCTACGCCCCAAGCCCAAACCCGAAACCCTAAACCCGAAACCCCAAACCCTAAACCTCGACGTAGGAAGCTTCGCACCCCGAGGTCCTCGGAGGCTTCGTAGATGGTTGGCCGGCGAGATCGTGCGCAGCAGAACAGACTTTCAGGGCAATGATGGGTTCTTAGATAATTAGAGTTGTGTAGAGTTTTAGGGTGGGTGGGGCTTCGAGGTGGATTCTTCTGCATAGTTATGCAGTTCTACTACACAGGTGCTAGTTCTGGTATATTATGGTGAGCGATATTAGGCGACGTGATGTGCGACTCGCTGAACATGTAAGATCTGATAGAATCGCCATGCTGTCCGCTCACAGCTCCTATGTATTTGAGTGTCGTAGCTTGACCACCACAGAACCTTTTTCTAAATGCTTCGGCCTTGCATCGTGGCTTTGAGTGGTGTCAGTGTGATTTCGGGCAGTGTGAAATGACTCACTTTCGCCATGTGCACTTGGACACTTGGACAGCGCGGATCCAAATGGGAATTCCAGGGCTTCCCGAACACATTCAGACCTTTGCTGCCCCTTCGCAGCGCGAAAGGCTACAACGCACCACAAACCCTGAACTCCAGGTACCATCCCGTCAACCGCAACTGCATTCACTTTGCGCAGGCACATCCTCCCGAGTTCCGCGATTAAGGGGATCAGAACTGCATAGCGTCGCTGCGGAGCGCCAGACTTCAATGACGCGGCTCGGGTTTGGGGTTTTGGGGTTGCAGACCTTCGGGTTCGAGGCGCTGCAGCAAGTGTTTTCCAGAGCATCAATGTGAACCTTACGAGGAGCCCTTATGTTATGTTCGTGGCAGAGGTCCTCATAAACTAGCCATCACCGCCTTCATGGCCACGTTGAGGCAGAAGCTATCGTCATCATCACCAATGTCAACAAGCAACACATCAGAACCACCGCTGCAAGCAGCAGCGTCAGCACCTCCGGCAACCATAATCACAACATTCGCAGTATAGTTACCATTATGACGATGATGATGCTGATGGTGATGATGGTGATGGTGATGGAGTGATGCTGATGATGATGATGATTATGATCAGCATCATCATCATCATCCGTAATATCGTATTCGTGTCTCATTGGTCATCACCAACTTTGCGATCCTGATCATTGACAACACTGCGACCACAGTTTCTGTAACCGTCGCCATGGTCAATGTCTTCATTGTCGTCGCCGTGATGTATGCGGTTCGTCATCACGCCCGCCATCACCATACCATGCGCATACAATATAATCCGCAAGAATCCCAAGCCTGAGACACATACTGTGGGGCCGAAATCCATGATGCTGGTACGTGGAACCCATTCTTAAATGGCCCGCAGACAATAGCATCGCCTTTGCCTTAGCCGTAAGCGTGTTTTAGCCAGCCCACGCGCGGCCATCAGGAGCATCGCCAGCATACTTACTGAGCATCAGCTGGAAGCCGTGTTTCAAACAGCCACCGGGCGGCCAGCATCATGAGCATCAGCCGCGACTCGTGCGTTCAAACAGCACGCGGGCGGCCGGCATCATGAGCATCAGCCGCAAGCAGTGTATCATGAGTTTCTACCAGCCAACCGCATCAGCTGAACGCTGCATTTCAACCAGCCCACCGGCGGCCTGAGCATCAGCTGAACCTTGCGTTTCAAACAGCCCGTGGGCGACCAGCATCAGGAGCATCAGCTGAACGATGCATTTCAACCAGCCCACCGGCGGCCAGCATCATGAGCATCAGCTGAGGGCTGAGCTTCAACTGGCCCAGGGGCGGCCAGCATCAGGAGCATCAGCTGAACGCTG